GAGATGGGAGAAGCTGAAGCTACCCAAGGCACGGCATCAATCACCGGCGAAGAGAATGCGGAGATGGGAGAAGCTGAGGATACTCCACGCGCGGCCTCCAACACTGGGGATGAGAACGTCGAGATGAGAGAAGCCGCAGCTACCCCAGGCTCGACCTCTAATACTGGCGATGAGAACGTGGAGATGGGAGGGACAGATACCGAAAACCAGACCAGCGACGCAACCAACACCGCGGAACGAGATTCGATGATTGTTGTCCTGCACATTGGATCCCAGAAGCCATCTGGCGTTCCTAAGGCAGTGCTAACTACCGCGAATCCTCCTCGCGCTATCAGGACTCGAGCTGCGCACGCACGTATGCTTGAATCGACCCAAGCCCAGGGACAGGCTGCTTTCCAAACTCTGGCAGCATCCAAGACCGCTGCGACCACCAGCGCTCCAAACAAGCGAACCGAGAAGGGCGAATCGAGCAAGGCCATTGCAACTAGGTCATCGAGCAAGCCAGCTGAGACCGCTGCGACCCGCGTGTCGAACCCCGCCGCTGAAATGGTCGTGAAGGCAGTGAATCAGGGATTGCTGCAGGCTGGCCTCCGCGCTTCTATTCAGACACTGGCGCAAGATGGGGAGCAGGCACAGGAAGGTGCTGCTTCTACTCCGAGGACAGTCCAGAAGTCGGGATGGACTCCGATAAATGCCCAAGTTGATGGCTTTACTGATGTGGACTATAACGATGCGGCTACTTTCTTCGGTGATGTGGATGGCGCAGACGAGCTAGGAGGAGACGAGGCCGGTATTGGAGACGCACAGCACAACGACAATGCTGATAGCGACTACGATGCCGAAGAGGATGATTTCGAAGGTCAGGACGACCATGACGACCAGGACGGCCAAGACTCGGACGAAGACTACGACAGTGATAACGACGGCGGTCCTCCAAAGGGCGGCGCCCCCGTGAAGAAGGGCAAGGAGAAGGCCAAAGCGACGGCCACCACGAAGGGCAAAGGAAAGGCTCACGCCACCGCCAAAGGCAAAGGTAAAGCAAAGGTCGAGGATCCAGAGTCCGACACCAACGACGAGGAACTACCAGCCTGCGAAAAGCCCAAGAAGCTGTATAAGCACCTCGCCATCGACCCGAACGAGTACGACGAGCAAGGCAACCGCCTGACCGATTCCAACGGCAATCCCGTCCCGTACTTCCGCTTCATGGTGGGCAGCCACGACGCGGACCGTCTGCTAATCCGCAAGAAGCTCCGCAGGACCTTGGAAGAGCGGAAACCCTACGAATTCCCTCGCACGGCCACCATGGACTTCGACGACAAGGAAATGATCGAGGACGCCAACAAGTGGCGCCGCCAGATCATGCGGCGGTCGTATCCCGAAGACCGCGTGTATGAGCATCGCGATACCTACGTCGATGAGGAGTGCGAGTTCATGCGCGAATACGTGCGCCAGGACATCAAGAAGCGTGGTCGCGAAACTGTGGCTAGCCGTCCGCTGTGGGAAAAGCTCTTCATGGCCTTCAAGAAGCAATTCCCCGATTCAACACGGACGAAGCCAGCGGTGACGTCGTGGTGCGGCCGCGACGTGGATATCGCGGCCCAGAAAGGCATCCCCGTGAAGAAATCTAGTTCGAAAACAGCCAAGGCCAAGGCGGCGGACGATGAGGCGGCGGACGCTAAGGCGACGATCGCAGGCCTTTCCCAGCCGAAGGTTGCTCTGGAGGCTGTCAAGGGAAAGAAAGGCAAAGCTGCTACTGAAGCCCAAGCCACGACCGCAGGTCCCTCGGCGCCTGCTCGTAGAGGCCGCAAGCGAAAACATGCGGAGACGGTCCAAGAGGAGCCCGATTCCGACGATAGCAACGCCTACCAGCAAGACACACGCCAGGTCGACGTTCTAGCACGTCGAAACGTCCAAATCCAACCCCCAGCAAAGCGTCTCCGCCTTCGCCCTGGCCTCGAAGAACGCATCGAGGCTCCTCCAAGCTCCCAGGCAATTGCAGCTACTTCCTGGCCAAAATTTGTCTTGAAGCTTCGAGTCCATGACGGTAGTCGAGGGATTGTTCTTTCCGAGTCGACTGAGCCCGATCACGCCAATGGGAAACTGGCACAAGAGGACTCCTCCGAGAAAGAACAAGAAAATGGCGATTCGGCTGAGAACGGAGGTCTAGATGGAGGAGATGAGCTCGGAGAGCAAGAGCAAGAGCCTCAGGATGATGAGGTTGCCGAGGAAGGAGAAGTGACAGAGATTCCGGAGACGCCACCCCCTCGCAAGCGCAAGCGCCAGGACGACGATGACGATAGCTTCCATCCTGGCAAACGTGCGAAGTCAAACAAGGGCAGGAAGCGCTAGGTGGGTGGCTGAGGTTGAGGCGGTGCGCGGAGCGTGCGAGTAGATTGAGGAACTGGGGGCTGCAAAAGGCCAAGAAAAGGGATGAGAGAAAGGATCCCAAACATCAAAAAACAAAAACAAAAAACAAAAAAGGATGGCCAAAGTGCCGCTCAGGTTCAGGTGGCATTTCCAGGCTTCGCGGAGGTGTTAAGCCCCATCGGTCCCGCGTGTCAATACCGAGGCCACACTCCTATCCCTCTCCCTCTTCTGATATGCTGGCCATAAACTGAGATAGCGGCTTGGCTGCGGACTGTTTTTGGCGCCTTGGTATTGAGGATCAACAAAGACGGGTGGCTTCGGTCCAGGAACGGTGGCAATTGGCTTCGCTTCCGCGGGGCTTGCGAGCGGTCTGGTTCTGGGTCGCCATTGGCCATCCGCTTATGTGGAGACTGCGATTATTTCCTTTTGTATTTGATTATGTATGGCGTTGATTTTGGTACGGACGGCTGTCTATGTTTTGAATATGGTTCCGGCTCCAGATCAGGAGAACGGCGGAACTTGGTAAAAGAGGAATGACATGGTGGCTTGAAAGAGCGAGATCAAGTGGTAAGACTTCATCTAGATGTCGACGAATAGAACAATACTTACCTTTCAGACAAGAAATTCGACTCGAGAAATTGCACAAAGTTCTACTGATCATCGCCTACCTGACTACGGACATGTCCACTGCATAGAGCAGCAATGAACCCAGAAATTGTAGAGAACTCGAATTATTATCACCTACCTGACCGCGGGAATGTCTACGCGAGCAGAAAAGGACATGTTGAGATATGTGAAGAATGAAAAAGGATGATACCTCCTAAGACAACAATGAGATGGTAAGACTTCGTTCGAACGATTATGACCAGAGTAAAAACTGACATTTCAGATAAGACAATCGACTAGTAAATTGCAGGAGTGTCATATCAGGATCACGTACCTAGCCACGGAAACGTCTAGGAAAGAACACGTTGGAAAGACGACAACGAAAAAGAGATGGTGGCTCGAAAGGTAATGGCTAAGTGGTAAGATTATAGCCCCAATTATGATGACTCCAGCGATACTAACATTTGAGAGATGAGACATGAGACTCGCGAGATTGAAAGCATCGGAGTGCTTCGCGAACTGCCTTGACCAAAGTAAACGACGGCGCAACGAGTAGGAATGGAACATCCGGCGTCGGATCATCGAGATTCCGATGAAACCACATACTATCACACCTCGCCTCGCGGTTACCCATCCATCCATGCGAGACACTTGTCGAAAAGGCCAAGCCTGAGACACAAGAAAACACCCACCTCCGCGAACCCCTATCGAAAAAGCCAAGCCTAGGACAAAAGAAAATGAACGTTTCCAGAAAGAAAAGAGGTAGTCACTTGTAACATCCCAAAAAGATGCGAAATGGATGCGAGGATCTATCCGGCATCACACGATAGACAGTCTGATGAAACCACATACCATCACGTACCTTGTCTCGCGGTCACCCACCCCCAGCGAGAAAAGCTTATCGAAAAGGTCAAGCCTAAGACATAAGAAAATGCAGACATGCGCGAAGCACCTTCGAAAAAACCAAGCCTAAGACGAAAGAAAATGAGCGTTTGCAAAGAGGAAAGAGGTAGTCACTCGTGACACGTGACATATCAAGGAGATGTGAGAAGGACCCATCCAAAAAGACAAAGGTTTTGACTGAGTGCGGGATAAGACCGCAAGGAGGAGGTCGAGGTCTCCAGGAGATGACAAGGAAAGATGCTCAGATTTCGAACTCGACACGCAACACATTCCAGAGTCATGATTGAAAGAACAGACTCGACACTCACAGCTTCGATCGAAGTCTTGGCTGAAGATCCAAACAAACAAGGATGGAGCTAGGATGGACGACATCTGAAAAACCTACTGTCGAAAGTCTACAAGAGATCGGAGATCCCAAACGAGTTCGAGTCATGAACGTCCTAGCTTGGGAAGGTATCACGCCTTTGAGAGGTCCAGCAAAGAGAAGACTTACCGTGCCTACCTCGGTTTCGCGATACCAACCTCCGCCCTGCGCAAAACCCCTTCCTTGGAGGTACAAGACTCAAGGCGTGAGCAGCAGCCTCGGGTCACGTGACAGGAAGAATCATCGAAAGCATACTCGGATGAAAAGAAACAGAGACGACGTCGCAAGGAGATGGAAGGCTTGAAGGAAATGGGCCTCGGCCCGTTGACAAAGAGTCCCGAAGGAAGGAACCACGTACCGTGCCTACCTTGGTTTCGCGATGCCAACCTCCGTCCTGCGCGAAACCCCTACCTAGAAGGGTAAGGACGAAAGATTTATCTGATCACGTGACGAAAAGAGCCTCGATCAAGAGGATCCAACTAAGAAAGACCAAGATCGATGGCACCAAGAGCATTCGAATCCAGGCGGAAAAGGCTACGAGCACCGTTGACAAAGAGTCTCGAAGGAAGGAACCACCTAGCGTGCCTACCTTTGGCTTCGCAATACCAACCTCCGCCCTATGCGAAACCACCTACTGAGAGACGAACATGTTACGGGTTTACTTAATTGACCGGACAACGTGCCCAACAGAAATCATCATAACGGGTCTGAGGACCACCGGGAGACTAAGATGTGTTGAACACCTGAGTCGAGCGCTTTGAGAGACTGATCAAACGGAAAGCCTGAAAACAAAAGGTCTACGGACCAGCAGACTCAAGGAAATGTACCGAGACCTCGCATGACGCGTCGCAAAAACCGACATTGAAAAGGTTCCTGGAAAATGAAGGGTCCAAGGACCACTAGAGATAAAACGACATGCTGAGAACCAGGACAACGCGTCGCCCAGAATCATCAAACGGAGTTTCTGGAAGAGAAAGATCCCATAACACAGTTGAGGAGGTTTCGATTGAGACGTCGGATGAAAAGCGAAGTAAAAGTCATCAGAGGGTCCAAGGGCCAGCGGAGTTGGAAATTTGTAACGTTCTTCGCGAATGCGGAACAGAAAAGTGGGACATTTTCTTTTAAGGAAAGAGATTCAAGACCGCAGTGAGATCAGACTGTTTGATGGAGAGGGGTATCAACCCTGCGGAGACAGGCCTATGGGCTCCTGGGGTCGTTTGACTTGGAAAGGAAATGACATCTGACTCCGAGGAAGTTGACTTTGACGAGATGGAAAAGAGCCGGAAGGCTGATCAAGAAGGAACCATGCCTCCAGGACGATTATTCGGTACAGCACGAGAGATGGAACCCCGAAAGGGAAGGCAGGCGATGATCACCTTGAGAGGGAAGGAGATCACCTACCGTACCTACCTTGTTCCACGATACCAACCTCCGCCCTACGCGGAACACCTACCTGGCTGTCCAAGGATGCTGCTCGGAGTTTTCCTTTTTTGTCGCTGTTGTTGTGCAGTTTTGATTTACGGATAGCATTATCTAGGAAATGCGACAGATTTTCTCTTCAGGGCCTGTGCCCATGATGCCGTGAAGCGTGACTGATATCGAAGGAGGTCGCCGAATAAGTCATGAGCGGAGGAGTTTACTTAGTCGAAGGTCAGTAAGAATTCCATCGAGCGAGACGTATAGCAGCAGCTGACATACCTTTCCATACTTCCAAGCAAGAGCACATGTCCAGAGCTAGTGGATTGGCTGAACCAATACCAAATCGTAACGGAGCCAGACTCCACCACCGGGAATCCAGAATCATCTATCAGGAACAAGGAGAACACGGTCCAGAACTATGGACGCAGGGCTGCTATACATCAACGGTGACTCCAATGTAGACTGAAACACTGGCCTAGAGTTTAGGACATCTTATACGCAGCGAAGAAAAAGTATATCGTCGGACATCCGGCGCCAGAAGCTGGGATCGCTTACTACCAAGTCGATCCCGGCATGGCAGCCTCCTGCGCTCTCGCGACATGATGTCAGTCCAACTATGTCATGGTTTCCATGGGGTTCATGAGTTATCGTCGAGGTCTTGGGCTGTATCCTGGTTGGCATCTATCTTGGAGTGAAGGGAGTCGTGACGTGTCCTTGCGATGCAGCGGAAGGTGAGGAGAGTTGATGAGTTGGCGGCGCTATGCGATGGTCGTACGACGTAGCAGCATTGTAAAGAGCTAATAACAGTCAGCATCACGACTCCGCATCCGGGGACTGAGTATTGCGAAGGCCGGAGGAAGTCGCATCCTGAGGTCTCCGCCGGCTGCCGCCTAGGACGAGCCGAAGCAGGAGAGACAGGAACTCAGGTACTCGCTGCCTCGATGACAGAGGAAAGGTTTGGTCAGGAGAAGACGACTTACTTGCTCTGGCGGGCCTTCTATCGCGAATGATGCTGCCCCCATGGATGCGTGTCGGAGCGGAGATGTTGGGTGGCCAGCCCTCTGCGACAGGATCTGCAGGCGAAGCTGGACACCCTGGGCGAGACCTATAGAAGGCTATGCCTCTTTGGATCCATCCAGGGGAGTGCCGGCGCAATCTACGACCTGGAATGCCGGAATTCCCACTTTGACTGAGGGGCTGGCTCTGATCAGCGCGGTTAGCATGGGCAGCAGCGAACGAAGCACGCTCAATGAAGAAGAGCCTTACCAAATGAGTTTTGCAGGAGATTCCAGAATCGCCGTGCCTGGTCGGAGTGCCGCTGCCCTTGGAAAGAGCTTATGGGAGGATGTCGCCGTCGCCGTCGCTGTCGTGGGCGTGCGCTGTCGTGGACGACTCCCGCGGCGATCCAGGGGGTATAGGATCCGATCAGCCCGTATCGCTGGAGCTCTAGCTCAGTCATTCGGGCCGTTGCTGCCATGGACGAGTATAGCTTGTCGATGTTGTAGGAGGGAGGGTTGTGGGCGAGGCGAGGCGAAACAAAGGTCCAAGCGGGCCGTTGCTGGGGCGGCCCCTTTGGGAGGCTGCGGAGCATCGGAGCAGCCACAAACGCGCTCTATTCGAGCTGTAAGAAGATGAGGAGCTGTAGAAGGCGTACAGAGTCAGTTTCAAGCAAGGCCGAAGCCCCAAAAATGGATGGTTGGTTCTTACCTTGGTGTTGAGGGTTCCGCCTGCACGGGGATGCCGCTGAGCCCTTCCGCACAGCTCAGCATCGCAGCTACCACCCTGCAGAGCTATACCGAGCTTGCGAAGAGGATGGCCATGTCTGCCTCGAGCTCCGCGAGCTGGTTTGAGGTTGAGGAGAGGCGTGTTGGTGGTGGGAGAAGGGGGGATGGCTTCTCATCGCCGCCCCGCCACGGAGACATCTCACCAGCGGAATATGGCTCGGCAGCCTTTCAAACATGAAGGGGAGGATGGTATCAGTATGGAGCAGCTCAGGCCTGCGTTTCAGAGGCCACAGTCGATGTTTGGTGGTGCAATAAGGGGGGAGGGCTGGTGATAAAGCTCTGTTGTTGAAGCGGGCCAGCAAGTCCCCAAACTCCACAGCCGTCTGCCCCTCCATAAAAATATCGCGGCGCACAACAACCCTTCTCCTAGCAACCTCACCTGCACTCTTCCGTCCACCGACAACAATCCTTCTTCATCCACCGGCACGAAACTTGCGCACCCCTCCGGCGAACGTCCACCATGAAGCGTGTGTGCTACCCCGTCTCAGATGTTTGCTGGCCCGATCCCGAAGACATGTCTCCCTCCAGCGGCTCCTCCGACGCTGATGGCTCGGGGCCGGACGCGGGCTGGGCTGAGGTAGAGGACGAGGATGATGCCGTTTCGATCAAGTGCTTCTTCTGCGAGCAGACCTTCGCGAGCCCTACTGCCATGTGTGATCACTGCAAGGCCGACGAGGGTTTCGACTTTCTCGCTGCGAAGGCAAGAATGAGTTCGTTATATCCCCCCTGTCCCATCTTCCCCACGGCATGCGTCTTCCTGCAAACAGCGGGGCCTTGCAGCTGGCAACATGCAGATCGTACCAGGCGGCTTTGCCGGCAGCCTGGGCCATCTGCATTTGCATTCTCATGGCTCATCTGCATTGACATTCTTGGTTGCTAACTTCACGTGACATAGACCTGGATTTCATCGGCACTATCGAGTTCATCAACTACATTCGTTCGCAGGCGCTACTAGGCCACAGAGATTTCAACATGGATAAGGAGACCTTTGAGATCGAAGCATATGGCCGCTCGCCGCTCGACGACGACCCGCTGCTCTACTCCCTGGACGACCTCCCCACCGATGAGACGCCCGCCCAAGAAGATGTGCATCACAACACAGCGGATCTTGAACGCATCGCCGAGCTCGAAAATGCCATTCAGCAGCTTGCCCTAGTTCATAAGGCCCACAATGAGATGGTTCAGCGAATGCTAGCCGAAACATCGTCCGAATCCGATACGAAGACTCGCCCCACCAAGCCGAAGAAAGCTGCAGAGGAGAAGCTATCAGGTCCGGCGCTGGAGAAGGATAATGATAGCTACTTTAACGGCTATGCTTACAACCGTACGTCCCTCCCTCCTTCCAATCTGATTCCATCTCCCCCCTCTCTCTACGCCGCTAACCCCCTATCCCAGAGATCCACCGCACCATGCTCGAAGACAAAGTCCGCACCGACGCCTACCGCGACTTCATCTACGACAACAAGCACGTCTTCGCCGGCAAAACCGTCCTCGACGTCGGCTGCGGCACAGGCATCCTCTCCATGTTCTGCGCGAAAGCGGGCGCTAAACACGTCTACGCCGTCGACAACAGCAACGTCGCCGTCAAGGCGCGCGAAATCATCCACACCAACAACCTCGCCGCCACCATCACCGTCATCCGCGGCAACATCGAAGACATCACCCTCCCCGTCGCCCAGGTCGACATCATCGTCTCGGAATGGATGGGCTACGCGCTGCTCTACGAGAAGATGCTCGACAGCGTGCTCGTCGCGCGCGACCGCTTCCTCGCCCCCGGCGGCCTCATGGTGCCGTCGCACTGCACGCTGCGCATCGCGCCCTACAGCAACGCGCAGTTCGGCTACGAGAACCGCGAGAACGCCTTCTGGGCCGACGTCTACGGGTTTGACATGACGCCCATGATCGACAACGACAAGCTCGCCTTCTCCGTCATCGACATCGAGCACGTGATCCCGCAGCGTATCGCTGGCCCCCCCTCTACCTTCCGCGTCCTCCCGCTCGCGACGGTGAGCGCGCAAGAACTGCAGTTCACGGCGCCCTTTGCGGTGGAGCTCTCGCGCGACGTGCCCAAGATCGACGGCTGGGTGGTCTGGTTCGACACGTTCTTCCTGCCGACGCGTGAAGATGTCCTGCCGGCCGACGCGGTGGCGGAGACGTGGCCGGCGAATGCGCCGGGCAACGCGTTCACGACGGGCCCCTTTGGGGAAAAGGAGACCCACTGGGGCATGGGCGTGATGCCCTTGGCGAAGGCGAACGGCACGAAGGCGCTCGCGGCGGGCGCGTGGGTGGCGGGCAGCGTGGCGTACAAGTACGTCGGGCGGGGCGTCGAGGTGGAGGTGGCGTGGCAGGTGGAGGGGAGGGAGGGGATGGTGCGGCAGACGTGGG